GCTGACGTTTCGGGAAGGGTCTAGGCCCGAAACGTCAGCCTTCCTGCTCCTATGATGCTGCTTGGCCTGCTGTGTTCATCCAGCTCTACATCTTGTTATCTCAGATTCTCCAGCATCTGCAGCTCCTACTATCCCTGTAGAACACTGCTGGTCACAGGCGTCCAGCCTGAAAAGCAACCCTCCACCATTACTCTCTGTCTCCTCCCGTTAAGCCAATTATATATCCAATTGGCAAGCTCACACTGAATCCTTTGTGACCTAACTTTACTAATTAATCTACCATGTGGAACCTCGTCAAAGGCTTTACTAAAATCCAAATAAACAACATCTACTGTTCTGCTACCATCAATCTTTTTGGTAGCTTCCCCTAATCAATCTTTGCCTCTCTAAATGTCCATAAATCCAATCTTTTATAATCACCTCCAACAATTTACCCACAACCAAAGTCAGACTCATAGGTCTATAGTTCCTTGGTTTCTCCTTACAACCTTTCTTAAGCAAAAGTACAACATTAGCCACCCTCCAGTCATCAGGCACCTCATCCCTAGTTATAAATGATGCAAATATTTCTGCAAGGGGTCTTGTAATTTTCTCCCTTACTTCCCACAATATTCTGGGATACCTTAGATCAGATCCCGGGAATTTATCCAGCTTTATATTCTCTAAGGCCTGTCAAACATACTCTTCTGTAATATGAACTGTTTTTAAAACATCAAAGTTTATTTCTCTGCCTTCTCTAGACTCCATTTCTTTCTCCACAGTAAAAACTGATGCAAAATATTCATTTAATATCTCTCCTATTTCCTGGGATTCAACACAAAGACGACCTCCTTGATCTTTAAGAGGCCCTATCTGCTCTCTAGTTACCCTCTCACTCTTAATGCATTTGTTAAATCTCTTTGCATTATTCTTAAACGTATCTGCCGATGCTGTCTTTGTTATAATGTTTTGGTATGAAATACAATGACGCTCCAAATATGCCAGGTTTCATTAGCATCAGCAAGTAAATCAAGATTTCCAGGCTTAACTTTTGGAGTACATTTTATATTCTCTCCCGTTTACGTTATATTGCTATCAGTAGGCCATGACAGCAAGGCCCTACCCACTATGCTGCTAGATCAAAGATAAAACAGTATAGAGCTGGAGGAACATAGCAGGCCATGACAGCATCAGAGGAACAGGAAAGTTGACGTTTCAGGTTGGGACCCTTTTTTTTCTGAGGAAGGGTCCCGATCCGAAACGTCAACTTTCCAGTTCCTCTGATGCTGTCTGGCCTGCTGTGTTTCTCCAGCTCCATACTGTGTTACCTCTGACTCCAGCATCTGCAGTTCTTGCTATCCCCCCTAGACCAAAGGTATTGTTTGCTGCACAAGTTCACAGCATGTGGGATAATGCAGAGGGTAAATCTACTGACTTTGGGCCATGGCATCACAAAAATAGATTATCTGGACATTATTGGAATACTCTTTGCTATGAGTAAGTTGGATGCCAACCTACTAAAGTACTTTATTTTCTGTAAAGTATTTCAAGACATCCTTATGTTATCAAAGTAGTAAATCCAAGTCTTCTTTTCCTCTATTACATGCCACATGTTAGTACGTGGTAGTGGGTGGGGGCATGTCAAATAGGTTAGGTTGTTGGCCCACTAGCGTCCATCTACCCTCAAGCTACCCCTCCATAATATGGAGGGTGGGGGACTTCAAAATTGGTAACCCAAAAATTGACCCCACTATTATCCTGCCTGTACTATAAAATAACTGGTGTAAGCAGTTGGGCAGGAGTAGGAAGCCCACATTTTAAAAATGTTTTTAAAACACCAGGAAGGAAGAGGGGAGGAGGTTACAGTCTCTGGAGGGCGCACTTTGCCCCTTGGACCAGCCCCCAGAACATCCATCCTCACATGCCCCTGCATAATATAACATGTATACTTGAGGCCTGGTTGTTTGTTCAACTCCTTTATTGCTTGTCTTTGTGCAGGTAAGTTACATTACACCTCCAGCACAGTAATATCATGGCGCCACCTATATCTGACTCCAAGTACCACATTCTATAGAAATGCCACATAAAGTGGCAAAAACCTACATGTCCAAGGCCCCTAACATACCTGTGTTCCATTGGAGGCCTGCTTCGTGAGACTGCCTGCAATCCTGACAGTAACCCCTATCAAGCTCTGGCACTGCCGATGCTATTGGAGCTGCTGACCAATCTGAATGGCCGGCAGCTCAAAGGAGTAGAATGTCCTGCCACTGAGGTACAAAGTCCACTCTGAACAGTTCTATGTTATCTTCAGCAAATATGAATAATTAATGGCCAATTAAACTTTTTTTAAAGCCCGACTGACGCCTACATTACACTGACCATGTCACGAAACAGTTGACGTGGCAGTCGAGTGCGAGTAAGCATCCCAGTGTTTACAATGATAGGAGGGATAGAGGTATTATTTTTGGGAATGGAGGTGGTTTGAAGGTTGTCCTTTGACCAAGGGACACCCCCCAACCCCCTAAAGATGATTATACCTCCTTTTCATCATTATCGCCTGATAGAGATATATATCATGTTAGTTAAGCCACAGCTAGAGTACTGTGAGCAGTTCTGGTCTCCACACTATAGAAAAGATATGATTGCACTGGAGAGGGTGCAGAGGAGATTCATCAGGATGTTGCCTAGGCTGGACTGATTCAGCTATGAAGAGAGAAATGAGACAGGCTGGGGTTATTTTCCTCAGGACAGAGAAGCTGAGGGGTGATCTGACTGGGCTGCACAAACTTCTGAGGAGTATAGACAGGGTAGATAAGGATAAACTTTCCCCTTGGAAGGTGGGGGGGGCGCATAACCAAGCGGCACTATTTTAAGGTAAGGAGCAAGAAGTTTGAAGAGGATTTCAGGACTGTTTTCACCTGGAAGATTGTGGGTATCTGGAACTTCATGCTTAAATGGGTAATAGAGGGAGCTGGGGGGGAAGCTCAAGACATTTAAGAACTATTTAGATGAGCAACTGAAATGCCATAACATACATGACTACGGCCAAGTGCTGAAAAATGGGATTAGAATAGATGGATGTTTGATGACCAGCATGGACACGATAGGCTGAGGGCCCACTTTCCATGCTGCAAAGGTTCTATGACACTATGTTACGTATATTACAAATCCACCTCGAATACCTGTTGATCCCTTCCCTGAAGTGCCATGTGACCTGCTGCCCAAAGTCGTTGATTGATTTCACTCCAGAATTCATCAGGGCCACATAATAGGCCTGTCCATAGGCCCCCACATCACTTACTTCTTAACTCTGGCACTGCCAGGAATGCCTGGATCTATTGCCTGGCAGCTTCAGGGCGTGGGACTTGTTCCCAGTGAGGAAGTCTTGATATCCATCAATTTCATATGACTGCAGCATGTTATTGCTGCAAGGCAAGCACCTTCTGGGCAGTGGACTAGGAGTACACTGAAAACATTTCTGTCTTTAAGGTCCCTAGTATTATTACTCGAGAGAGAAGAGGACCCCTTAAAAATCAACGAGGTCATCTATGCATGGAGCCTCAGGAGATGGCAGAGATAAATAATATTTCACGTCAATACTTACTGTGGAGAAAGACAGGGAAGCTGGGGACTCATGGAAATAAATACTGATGTCTTGAAAACAGTCCACATTACAGAAGAAGAGGTGCTGGAGGTCTTGAAAAACATAAAGGTAGATAAATCTCCACAACCTGATCAAATGTACCCAAGGTCATTGTGGGAAGCTAGGGAAAAAATTGTGGGGCCCCTAGCAGACATATTTGTATCATCTACAGCCAATGGTGAAGACTGGGAAGACTGGAGGGTGGCTAATGTTGTGTCTTTATTTAAGAAAAGCTGTAAGGAGAAGCCTGGGAATTATAGACCAATGAGTCTGAAATTAATTATGGCTAAGTTGTTGGAGGGAATTCTGAGATACATTTACATGCATTTGGAGAGGCAAGGACTGATTAATCATAGTCAGTATGACTTTATGTATGGGAAATGGTGTCTCACAAACTTGAATGAGTTTTTTGAGGATGTGACCAAGAAGATAGATGAGGGCAGTATAGTAGACATTGAACTTTAGTACATGAACTTTAGTAAGGGCTTTGACAAGGTTCCGCATGGTAGACAGGTTAATAAAGTTAGATGGGGTTCAGGGATAGCTTGCCAATTCAAAACTAAATTGGCTTGATGATAAGAAACAGATAGTGATGGTGGAGGGTTATTATTCGGACTGGAGGCCTGTGACCAGCGGTATTCCGGATGGATCAGTGCTGAGTCCACTGCTGTTGGTCACTTATTATAAACGACTTGAACGAGAATGTAGTAAGCCAATGGGCCGAGCAGTGGCAGATGGATTTTAATTTAGATAAGTGCAAAGCATTGCATTTTGGTAATACGAAAAGGGGCAGGACTTACACAGTTAATAGTAGAGCCCTGGGGAGTGTTGCAGAATAGAGACACCTAGGGATTCAGATGCATAGTTCATTGAAAGTTGCATCACAGGTAGACAGGGTGGTTAGGAAGGTGTTTGGCACGTTTGCCTTCATTGCTTAGAGCAATGACTATAGGAACTGCGATGTCATGTTGCATTTGCACAGAATGTTGGTGAGGTCACTTTTGGAGTACTGATTACAGTTCTTGTTGCCCTGCTACAGGAAGTATGTTATTAAATTGTAGAGGCTGCAGAAAAGATTTATAAGGATGTTACCAGGACTAGGAGGTTGAGGGTGACCTTATGGAGGTTTATAAAGTCATGATGGGCATAGATAAGGTGAATAGCAAAGGTCTGTTCCCTTGGGTTGGGGAGTTCAAATCAAGAGGGCATTTGGACAGGTACATGGATAGGAAAAGTTTAGAGGGATATGGGCCAAACACAGGCAACTGGGATTAGTTCAGTCTGAGAAACTTGGTCAGCATGGACTGAAGGCTCTGCTTCCGTGCCGTTTGAGTCTATGACTCTACTTTGATAACAGCAATGATTATACATCTAGAAGGACACGTTAAAGGCTAATAGAGGTAGAACTCAATAACTTCTTCTCCATTCTCATCTGCTTCCTTTTTATGAGGTGTTTTGACACTGCTTTGTGCTGTAACCAAATGTAAAACTTAATGAAGAAGCAAGTTACTCCAAATGTTTGAATCTATACTGAAAACAAAAAATGCTGGAGATCACAGCGAGTCAGGCAGCATCCATGGAATGTGAAACGCTGTCCCCTCCACACTACACATCAGCTTTGATGAAGAGTTATCTAAACTCGAAACGTTAGCTTGCTTTCTTTCCATGGATGCTGCCTGACCCACTGTGATCTCCAGCACTTTTTGTTTTCAGTAAAACTTAATGAACTTGGAATTTTTTAGTTAGGCAATGGCTGTAGTTTCTTGACCTGTTCTCACACTCCTGATGCTACAGGGACTGTTGAGTGCTGGATTTTACCTTATTTAAATATATTCTCACTGAAATATGCTTACTGCACATTGACACACCAAAACAAATATCTGGGATGGAAAGTACATTCAACATTGATCAAAGTTGGATCAAAGAATCAGCCAGGATGAACCCTGAAAAACCTCAAGCAGAAGTCAATATAATCACTGAATTCTGTAAACTTGGTCATAAATAAAAACAGAACATTTTCAGAAAGGTTACAGAATATTTTACTTCACAGTGTCTCCAAACACCTGATAGGAAACCCAATAGCATAAAAATTACTGACAAACGTACTAATTTGTATGTTCTGCCTGAAAGCCTTAATTTCATAGGATAGTCAAATGTGCTGCTTTTATTTAGCTATTTTAATCCATTTAAGTTCGGTCAATAGTATTTCTGTCATCAGTTGCAATTTGCCCTTTCTATCTCCTTGCGTTTACTGTCTACAATTATCTGTCTTTATAGCTACACCTTTACTACATTTACAGGTTTACGACACTAAAATACCAGGGTAACTATACGTTGTTGATGATATCTGTCGTTATATGCGGATCTTTCCATTAGCTTTTCATCTGCATATACCTGTTGACTTATTTAAGAAGATCACATTTTTCTGTCGGTTATTTAATGATAATGTCTGTCCCTATCATTTATCAGATTTCTTTCCTCTATGCATGGTGTAAATTGCCTTTGACCAGCTTTGAACCCAAAGCACATTCATTCCACATGCATTTCAAACGGGCAAAGAAATGATTGGAAATTAAATGTAGCTAGAGTTTGCAAACACATATTTCATGTAATTATCCTTTCAACATCTTAGCCTCCAGCCAATTTAGATTGTACCCTTTCATCCATCAAACTGACACTGACTCTGCCCATCCTGGCAGCTGTCCCAGTCATTTTTCAGGAGCATTTCACATCATGAGAACAACAAGTAATTGTAGGGAACTTCCCCTTCAATTGTCCTCCCTAACCCTTGAACCCCAGGGTTACTCCTTGATGGCACCCCGCCCTGGTGCTTTACACTTCCACAGTAGAGGCCACAGTGTGGGTCCCTGCCAATAACTCTCCCTCCCATTGCCTATCATGCATTCTGATATTCTTCTACCTATCCCACAACCATATACCTTAAGACATCCCCCCACCTCAGCCATCATCACCATCTCTACTTCAACATATGACTTTCTTAACCATCAATCATGACTCCCATCTCTTTTGGCATTAATTCCCCCAACCACCCTTTAGCACCCCTTTGCACCCTCCTCCGCAATCAACGCATAGACCTGCAGGATTGTATTAATCCCAGATTTTTGACCGACTTCAACAAGTAGCCCCTAAATATGACTGACCAAATCCCTGACTGTTGTCTTTGCGGCTCCATGACCTGTTATGCGTAATCTTTGAATGCTTCTAATGACCCTATGAGACTGATTGTTGCCCACTGATTGGAGTGTAGTCAGATATATTTCCTGAATGTGACCAAACTGAGTGAACGCGCCAAACATTTCCAAGCCCCTGGATTGCGTGAGGACCATGCTTGTGACTTACAGTACCAGGAACCCATGACTAACAGCTATCCCCTTGACTGGACAGTTGGCTAGTTCCCACCCAATTTTCAGCATGGCCATTTGTTTGAACATGCAGCTGGGGGTACATACCTTAGATGTTAGATTGATGTCTCAGTCTGCATTACAACAAGATCACCCCTCTGACATATCTCCACTGACAAGCATGACAATGGGCTTGTTTGTTTGCGCAGAAGAA